GGGCCCCCTACTGCTCTCAGACGCCTCGAAGGTGCTGAGACAGAGAGGCGCCATCGGTTGGGCTTTGCTGCGCTAAAGGAGACCCGCAAGCCGCTCTTTTTCTGTACCAGATGTGGGGCGTATACCAGCAGACGCTGCCACTTGCTCGGCCAGTTGTGCCTCGGAGAGCCTGGCACCTCAGGAGAAGGTGCCATCAAGCGCATTCGAGAGGGCCTCCATCCTCATTATCCTAAGAATCCTGAGGGTGATGATGCTGTTGCACCACGCAGGCCGCCGCCTAAGTCGGTGCTCCTGGCCCCTCCTGGCCCCGCCTCAGCAGGCAAGGCTCGCTTGGTCGACAACGATCGGCTGCGGGCTCTGGCTGGGCGCATTCGGGCCAAGGAGGCAGCCGCGTGATCGCGGCCACAGATCGGGATGTTCTGCCTCAGGCTGTCTGGTCCTCCTCCTCCTCCTCCCCCTCCCTCAAGCTACTCTGGCTTGGGGGTGGGCTTTGGGGAGTTCTCTAAGAAGTTTCGGGTTTTCACGAACACATCCACCTAAGTCAGATCCCTGTACCTTAACGTGGTGCTTGAGTACGCTTGCTTGTGCTACCGCCCATCGCACAAGCTTCCGCAAAAGCAGGGAGCCATGGCAGCGCCACAGGGGAAGTCCAGTCCCTGGACGCGACGCGGGAACTGCCAGTCATGTGAATATAACGACAGGATCAGAGTTCAGAATATGCAACGCCAGCGTTGCCAGGTTCACTGCAGGAAGCTCTTCAAGCCACACGGCCCCGATCGCGACACTCGGCAGGTGCGATTTGAAGACGAGTCAGATTGGGAACACAGCAGCCAAGGTAGTGCCAACACTCCAGCCGCCAGGAGGACGAGGAGCCCAGGAGGCCGGAAGCTTCGCAACGCCAACGGACAGTCGCAGCTGGCCCATCTCCTCGAGCAGGCATTGGCGAACACAAAGGATCAGGAGATGAGAGCTGTCCTGGAGGCCCAGCGTACGAAGTTCGCCTCCTCGTCACAGCAGTCAGGGGAGACTGCAGCAGACCAGGTCAAGCGAGCTGATGGCGCATGGAGGACCGCCAGCAACAAGCACCCCCAGCTCGTGACGCAGGTGCTGCGCCTCCGCACGCAGCTGATGCACGCAGAGGGCAAGCAGCAGGTCGCGGCCCAGGAGCTGGCGGCCGCCGAGCGAGACAAACACACGGCTGCCGAGGCGCTGGCCAAGGCAGAGGGAGTCCAGCAGCAGGGACAGCCCACCACAGGCGCCAGCAGCGCAGCTGCTGCTGGTACGGCGCCCACCATCAGCATACAGATGAGTAGTGAGCTCTTCGACCACTTCGAGGAGTGGGATGCCGAGGAGAACGATAAGGTTGCCCTTCGCCAGCTCAAGTCCGAGCTCGAAGGGCGGAAGCAGAGTTTTGAATCCAAAGATGCAGAGCTGAAAGCGCCCCTCCAGAAGGTCGCCAAGGCGGAGAAGGACGTCCGCGACAGGATGCTCAAGAAGAGGAAGATATCGGAGGAGGACGGCGCCAGCGGCGCAGGCGGCAGCAGTGTCGGCGCCAGGGCGGCGGAGGCGCCCGGCGCGGCGAGCGCCCAGCCAGGCGCCCCAGCCCCCGCCGCTGCCGCCCAGGCCCCGCCAGCAGGCGCGGCCACCCAGGTGCCAGCGGACGCCGCCGACGAGGATTTGAAGAAGGAGGCCCAGCGCATCTCGGCGGCGAAGTTCGCGGCTTCCGCGGCTGGCAAAGGGGGCCCCCCACCCGCGGCCAAGTCGGCTGGCGCCGCCGCCTCGCCCGTGCCGAAGGGCTCGTAGGGCTCTGCGGGCGCGGCGAGTCAGCCTGAATGATTGGGCGTGGGAGCCGACGGCGCCGCGGCGAATCCGCGCCTCGAGCGCGCCAGCAACGCTGGCGAGACGAGTATTTTCTTCAGCAACGTGACGCGCATGGGAGACAAGGCCTGGAATTTCCTCGAGGCCCAGTCCCAGACGCACGACTACTTGGCCGCATGCGAGCCGCACGTCGGGAAGACGGCTCTTCCTTCATTGGCGTCAAAGGCGAGGTTTTCACCCATGAAGCTTTTCGCCAAACCAGCCCGTCCGAAGCCCCAGTAAAACAAGACGCATGAAAGCGACGCCGAGTCTCAGAATGAAGGGGGGGAGTGGGTCCCACTCGCACCCATAGGCCTGTTCAGTATCTAGACGCTGCCCGCGCAGGCCCACTTTTAGCCGAAGGCAGCTCCATGCTCGATGGTTTCGTGCCAGTCGTAATGTACATGCGAGGATTCTCTTTAGTGTTTCTAGTTTTTACGGACATGCAGGGCCTGGGTTCAGAGGGGCTAACCTGGGTCGTTTCCGTGGGATCGGGCGCCTGTTCAGTGCCCTGCAGACCCCCTGGATCGTCGCCGCCGACTGGAATCTTTCCCCAGAAAGCTTGCGGCGCACAGGATGGCTAGACAGAGTTGGAGGACAGATTGCGTGCTCCGACGCTCAGTTCACGCGTGCCCCAGGTGGCGGGGGGCAGCCCAGCCATCTCGACTATCTTGTAGTCAGTCACGCAGCGAGGCCGCACGTTCGCCGAGTTGTTCCTGTCGCCGATGTGCCATGGAAACCTCACATCGGACTCAGTGTCTCCATCGTCGCGCCTGGGTCTCAGTTAATCACTCGGTATCTCGAGTCGCCCGCGCGTTTGCCCGCTGTCAGCTGACCCACGCGGCCGGCCGCGCCCGGCCCCAAGTCTATCGCCAGGAAACGGGAGCGGGCCACTTCAAGGTTGGAGGCCAAACGGGCGCGCGAAGGACGCACCCTTTCTTGGTTCCCCCAGCAGGATAGCGGCGAGGAGGGCGCGCAGGGTGAGTCCGATAATCGCACCCAGTCCCCCCCCCCCCCCCCGCCCTCAGCGACGCGGGCGCTCGCTGCGATGAAGGCGGCGAGCCCGTCTGCTCAGGCGACGACCTGGGGCGGCCTCTCGGAGGGCGACCCTGGGGCGGACGAGGCGGCGTTCCAACCTGCCCCTCAGCCGCCCCTGCTTTTGTTTCTCTCTCGCTGCCAGATGAGAATCAGACACTTGGACAGTCGAACAGCACAGCGCACCATGCCAATTCGGATCCCCCCCCCCCCCTCCGACCCCCCGATCTCCCCGAGCCCCGCCGTCCAGGGTCTTCTTCCAAGGAGCAGTCCGAAACGTCGGCGTGGCCGCCCGATTTGCATGTGCCCAGCGATGTGCGGAAGGAACAAAGAGCTCGGATTGGTTTCAGTTATGCCACCCAGTGCCCTCCATCGAAGGCCATCATCCGTTCCGACGCCGACCACCTCGGCTCAAAAGATTCAGGCTTGCTTGCAGCATTGCACGCAAGCTGGGCCCGAACCGTGGAGGCCCCCATATTCACACACCATCAGCAGGTCCCATATGGAGCCACTCGCGGAGAGGCGCCCCAGTTCAAGGCCTCGGTCGCGCGCCGAGGAACCCCCTCCCGACTGGCACCTTCGAGACAGAATCAGCGGCTGGCGGGCACGGGCCAGCACAATCATCAGCAGTAGCACGCGACATCTTCGACGGGTTGGTGGCGACAAGCAACTTGCCATCCTATATCACGCGGGCCGCAACCTCCTGGACGACATGCCGTCTCAGGCGGAGCAGATCATCAGGCCCACCGACAGGATCGATTGGAGGTATTGGCAGCAATGTGTTGCGAACCTCCAGAGCACACCCTTGGTTCAGCTCGATGTCGGCGCTCAGCCAGTCGACAGGTTGGCAAGTCGTAGCCAGAGACGGGCTCCGAGCGGATCAATGATTGAATTTCGAGAATGGGCCGAAGCAGTTCCTGCCACCAGGCTCCTTCACACAAAAGTGAGGGAACCCCAGCCAGAGGTGCGCGACGTTCAGACCAACGGTCAGATTCTGGTATACCCCAAGGACATCATGGATTCCAAGAGCAGAGAATGGGAGCACGCATGGGCTCCAACAAGTTTATTGGTGAATGGACGACAGGCTGAACTAAGCGACCCGCAAGATCTTTGCTGAGGTACGTGACAGGGCACGCTACGAAGCCTTGCCAGATCTCACCAACCTGGACATCAGGAGTGCGCTAAGACAGATCAAGTCTCCTGCAGCGATGAGAGTGGATCGGTTGAGTTCTCACGACCTTCTACGGCTACCTGATGAGGCCATTCACGAAATGATCACGGTTTGATCGGTCTGCGAGTCCACCCAGACTTGGCCTCATCAGGTCTGCCTCACTATCGGCACCATTCTTCCCAAGAAGGTAGTGGGAGATAGAATCACCGGACTTCTGCCACATTTGTCCAGGGTTTGGTCTCGGGCACGCGAGCGATACGTCAAGAAGTGGGCCTAGGACTGCGAGGCGCACTGAGGCGCGGCCACCAAGGGCAACGCCGCAGTTCGGGAAGCATTTCTCAGATCGGTCGACGAGGAGCTCGCGGCCAGGCTGCGTGAAGGCCTTCGGTTTCTCATTGAAAGCGGCACCACAGTCAGTATACCTTGGGTGCGATCTTGGAAGAGGCCCAACGCACGCACGTGCCAATCGAGTCTCAAGACAGAAGAACACAGTCAGATGAGCAAGCAGGTTGTCAAATATGCCAGATGCACTCGGAGATATCGCGTCACGACACGGCTCGAGGCCCAAGGAGCACAAGCAGCGGGCACCTACGGTCACCAACTTCACGGAGTGCATGGATGCGAAATGGTCCAGATTCGGCGACGATTCGGCAACGCCCTAGGCCCCGGGGTCTCTGGCAGGTGCCCCGCCACGCTGATCGATCTTTGGGCGCCTGGTCGGGACCCCGCCTGTCGGCTGCCGCAAGATTGCTTGAGGCTCTGACTCTCATGCTGGGCTCAGCAGCCCACCATTCGGATGGTCGAAAACCAGGACCTGGACCTCCCTCGTCCAGGAGCTGAGGTCTCGTCGAAAACCTCTGCGAGCGAATCCCTCCACTCCTCGTCGTCCGCGTCGTGTCGGGCCCTGACGAAGGTCACAGTACTACCCAAGCAGGGCAGTGCGTCCACGACCCACGCCCCTGTCCCGTCAGGCAGCGCAGCGACCTGGCCGTCTGGGCACCAGATCTTCGTCTTGCTGGTGTTCAACTCGAGGCCTAAGTCGGCGAAGAGAGCGCTTGCGGCTTTCAGTGCCTGGTGCAGGTGGGCCTTCGGTACTGTCAGGTGGGCGTCGTCCAGGTAGGCCCACACCTTGCAGCGAGGGCCCAGGGTGCGCAGGAAGTCCCGCAGGGCGCAGAGCTCCGGAGCGAAACCGAAGCCGATGCTAAAGAGCGCCGGTCTGAGGGGGCACCCTTGGTCGAGGACCTCCTGCTGTTCCACCAGGTGGTACACCCCGCTGGCCCCCGCAGCTGAGTGCACTGTCGCACGACCGTACCACTGCACCACCAGGCCCTCCAGCTCCAGGCAGCGCTCCCGCACCCCGCGCAGCACCGCCCTCCGACGCATGCGGGTGAACGCACTCTTGAGATCCAGCGACGCAAAAGCCAAGTCTGGGCACTGCTCTGCATCTGCTCTTGTGCAGCGTCTCGAGCCCGCACAGGACCCCAACCCCGTACTGGAGCTCGGAGACAGCCCTCTGGATGCTGTCTGAGCGGACAGTGCACACGGCCCTGGCCACCATGCGCCGCGCGATGGCCCCGCATGCCAACACTCTTGTCCCGCCGTCCTTTTTGGCCGTCCCCAGCAGCTTGCCTGCCAGAGCCACGTCTAGGGCCCCCGCCGGGACGGCGCCGCCCAGGAGCAGCGAGAGCGATGCCGCGGTGGCCGAACCTCGTGTTTCGAGGTGCGCGAGCGGCTGCCAGTGCTCGAAGCGGTCACCTTGCACCCCCGCGCCTGCGCCACGGGGTGTCTTGGTCCACTTGTTCGTCAGGTAGGCCTGGACGTCCTCTCGGAGCCGTGCGTCAGCCACAGGGTCAGGCACTCCCCCCAGGTCGTACTGCGTGCGGGTCCTGCTGCGGCGGGGGCTGCTGCTGCTGCTGCTACCCGAACGCCCGGAGCGTAACTATCCGCAGCTGTAGCCCACTGGCCGGGTCCCCACGCTGCGGAAGCAGCCCGGGAGATCTCGCCCTTCAACAGTAGCTGGCGGACCTTCCGCACAGTCGCGCCCATGGTGCTGGGGCCGGCGGCGGCTTTGGTGGACGCAGCTGTGTCCCGTAGAAGGGCTTCCCACCTGCCGTCCCAGAAGTCGCGGAGGCGGCCAGCGACTCACTCAGCCACGCTGCGCGACTGCACCTCGCCCTCCTCAAACAGCTCCCCGAAGATCATCCGATCGAAGGCGAGGACGCATCTCCAGGCACCCAGCTTCCCCTTCTCGGTGGTGGCGTCGAGCACGGCCTGGGCAGACGCCTCACGCGTTTCCCCGACGGCTAGCTTCAGGGAGCTGGGCACGTCTTGCAGGGTGGCCGCCTGGTTCAGGAGGAGGGCCTCGGTGGAGTTGTACAGGCAACCCAAGGCCTCCGCTGAGGACCCGCTCCACCACTCGAGGTTCCGCAGCTGCTGCAGGCCTGCCAGGTTCGCGTGTTCCTCGGCATCATCCGCGGTGTCCGCAGCCGCTGCCGCCGCCTCAGGAACCAATGCCGATCCCCTGTCTGCGGGAGCGGGCGGAACAGCGGCGGGGGCGGCGGGGGTAGGCATGTTCAGGAACGGGGCGACGACCTGCTGCTGCTCCACCGTGATGTCCCGCAGCCTCTCGAGTCTGTCCGCGGTCCCCAGGGGGGTGCTCACACACGCAACGTGCCAATACCGAGGATGAACGCGCGCCCGCGCACTATTGATGCGGACGTCGCCATGCGCGAAGGCGAGCTGGCACTCCTGGCACCGGGCGCGGACGTGGGATGGCTGGATACTTCACCGCCACTGTGGGCCAACGAATCGGCCTCGCACCCTTCGCGATGCCGTCCCACCGCTGCTATCCACCTCCCTTGGCCCCTCCCGCCGGGCGCGGCGGTCTCCTGAGTTGGCAGCGGGTTGCCGGCCGTCCCCACTAGGAGCAGCGGCGCGCGCCTCGGCTCGGCGCAGCTCTGGGAGCGGGATGCCCATGACCTGCTCCATGCGGTTGGCCAGGTCGAGGGGGAGCTGCTCGAGGCTCTGCTCTGCTCGAGGTTAGCGGCGATGCCAGCGGGATGTGGCACATCTCCGTTCGTGAGGTTGCGCCGCAGCTGCATCGTAGGGGTCCCACCCACGTCAATGAAGGTATTCCGAATCGTGACGTCCTGCTGCAAGGGAGGCGCCATCGCGGCGCCTGCGCCATGGGGCGGCGGCACCTCCTGCTGCGCTCGATGCGTAGCACACCGGTCCCCTCCTGCCTCAGCATCTCCTTCGACGCCATGCTCGAGGCACATGCGGCACCGCATCACCGCAGGCAGTGGCCGGCAGCGCCAGGAGCAGCGCAGAGCAGCCCGCCTCGGCCGCCCGCCACCGACCCCGCACGCAGGGGGAGGATATGGGGGTATCCTCTCTTCACTGCAGGCCATGCAGATCGGCTCGCGAGAGCAGGAACTGGAAATGCCTCAGGTTACCCGCCCTTGCGGACCCTCCTCCTCCTTCTCCTCCTCCTCCTCCTCCTCCTCCTCCGCGGGCGAAGGGCCCCCGCCCGAAGGAGCGCCCCCTGGGCGCCGGGCTCCCTCCCGGCGAGCGCACGCCGTCCGGCCTGGTGCTGTTCCGGGAGCCGCCCCGGCGGCCCGCGGCGCGGCCCGCGGCGTAGGCGCCGCGCCCGCGCTCGCGCGCGCGAGGCGCGGGGGGGCTCCGCGCGCCTCGCGCGGGGGGGCCCCGCGCCGCGCGGGGGGGGCCCCGCGCCGCGCGCGAGGGCCCCGCGCCCGTGAGCCGCAGAGGCCTCAACGGGGCACAGCATTAAGTCGGGCATGTCCCTGCACGGGAGGAACATTCAAGAATGGTACAAAAAGTAGTCAGGTGACGATGTTCCGTGCTCTCTCGAGTACTTTTGATTATTGTTTGACTATGTTTCATTTGTCTTCCAAAATCCGCCTGTAGGAGGACATGGCCGACCTAAGCACAGCAGAGAGCCACAGCCACAAGGGAGTGGGTTTTTCGGGAGGGCCTCGCGGGGAAGAGCCCACCGACTGCCGACCTCGGCACGAGAGCGTCGGTTGCAGTTGTGGTCGATGTGTGGCCGTCCTGGGGCGCCACATCGACCACAGCCAGCACTGAGCTGGTGTGGGTGTTCTGACGATGAATTGCATGCGCAGGACGGACAGTCTCCCAGGGTGTGTCCTTGACGTGGTTATGGTCGCTTGCGGTCCCCGCATCTAATGAGTCGGGGGCATCCAAGGGCGGAGGATATCGCCGAGGTTCGAGGTTCAGGATTGTCAGGAGTCTTCGTCTGTTTCTTCTCGGCGATGTTCCAGCCTCGGGATGCTCTCCTGCAGACGCGCATCGTCGAGAAGTTTCAGGGGGTGCCAGGACCGTCCCGAGAGGCCACTGGAGGCCCGAGTCAGGACCCAAAAACAGCCAGGCATTACTGCGCCGCTTATCTACGTACAAGCCAAAAAACAAGCAAGACAAAACAGAACAACACAGCACAGCACAACACCAGCAACGATCACAACAATAACAACAACTGCAACAACAACCACCACAACAACATAACAACAATAACAACAACAACCACAACCACAACAACAACAACAGCAGCAGCAACACCAACCACAGCAACAGCAAGAGCGACAGCAACAGCAGCAACAACATCAGCAGCAACAGCAACAGCAACGGCAACAGCAACAACAGCAACAACAGCACAGCAACAACACAACAGCAACAACAGCATCAACAACCACAACAACCACAACAACATCAACAACATCAACAACAGCAGCAGCAATAACACCAATAAGACACACAACAAAAAACAACAACAACACAAACAAATAACAACAGCAACAACAACAACAACCACAACAATAACAACAACAACAATAACAATAACAATAACAATAGCAACAGCAACAGCAACAACAACAACAGCAACAACAACATCAACTACAACAACAGCAACACCAATATCAACAACAACAACAACAACAACAACAACAACAACAACAACAACACGGCGGGAGGTTTCTGGCCGTGTTCGGCCTCCCAGAGCCCTCGCCAGGCCCCCGGGGAACCGTCCGCAGGCAGCGGCTCACCACAGATGGGGCCGCGCCCGGGACACCAAGTGGGGCGCCGCACGTCCGGGAATTTTTGTGCCCGCGCTGGGGGGGCACCTCCCCCCCCCCCCCAGCTCTCTGTCTCTCTTTCCTCAACAGCTCGCCGCCTCCATGAAGACAGAGGGCTGCCTAGTCTTATGGAGGGGCCCATCGGACTGCGGGGTGTTGCCAGGTCCTTTCATCCCTTCGGGCGGGGGCGAGCACCGACCCGGGGGACCCCTACCAGGGCGGGGAGTGCCCCCCCTCCCCCTCATGACTCTTGGCTGTTTTCGGCACCTGTTTCGAGCAGGTGGGGCCTCTCCCCCCTAGGACGCGCTGCGACAAACAGTCGCATTCAGCAGAGGTCCGGAGCCAGACCCCGCCCCCTTTCCCGCCCCTTCCGCCCAATGCCGAAACGCCGAAAGAAAAAACGGTCACCTAGGCCGGTCCGAGCACGGCGTGAGCCGAAGAAGTCTCATCTCATCAGCCAGGGTCGGCCCAGTCCATTAGAATCCCTAGAGCTCCTCGAGCGTGTCCTGAGCCTAGCGTATCGTGACATCGCTCTCGTCCTATGAAGAAGGCCTCCTCTGCACAGAAGTCGCCAGGTGCGGTCGGAGCAGATGGGGTCGGAGGATCGCGCCGCATCGCCGATGCATCGGCGGCGAGGTTCGATGTCGAGCACGGTTTTCTCCACGCCCGCGTCGCCGATGCATCGCCGACGTCGCTGATGCATCGCCAATGCATCGGGGATGCATCGCCGATGCATTGGCGATGCGGCGCGATCCTCCGACCCCATCTAGGAGGCCTTTAAGCGCGCAAGCCGCTCGCAAGTCGCAGTGCATCGCGTACAGAGATCGGGGGGCCCTGCCCAGGGAGATCCGAGGCTCTGAGGCGGGCGGCTTGTCTCGCTGGGCCTCGAGGCCGTCAGAAGACGGCTCAGGACGACAAGCCGGCCCCAGGGAAGTGGTCCAGACCTCTAGGGGCCGCGCATCGAAAAAGTTGTCGCAGCCCGAGCTCGGAGGCGACGACAGGGGCAAGCAGCCCCAGAGGGCGGGCGGTGCACGCATATTCGCCCAGAAGCCTCGCCGAAGATTCGGACCGTCGGCGTCCTTGGATTCGCGTACTGCTCCCCCCTGGGCTAGTCGCCCCGGTCGTCGCCCCCGACGACTGGGGAGGGTGATGACTGCCGAGGGAGGGGTGTCATGGCGGGGGCCACGATATCTCCCTGGCTCTCATGGCCCCCTCTGCTCGTTCCGATGCGTCCCTTGCTGCAGGATCGAACGGAGGACGCGCACGTATATGAGCCCACGTTGGTCTCGAGAGCACGCACTGCGCGAAGTCAGGAGGGAAAGAAACACACAGGCACAATCAATTGTCGATTCCAAGAAAATATTGGAAAATATGGGAAGTGGGGGGGGAAGACGAAACCCAGAAAATACAAAGAAAATATTGGGATTCCTGGGATTTGTGTGTATGTATTTGTGTGTCCCAGGGCCCCTTCACGAAGGTCGCATCACGCGGCCAGTCTCGCGCGAACTGGGGGGCCATGTTCTTGCACGTGGTTCCCAGACCCCCGACGTCGCGATTTTTTCATAACGCCAGCCCCCAGAGCTCGGGACCGCTTCCCCAGGACAAAACACGACTCAGCTGAGTCGTGTTTTGTCGGTCCCGATGGCCGGTGAGGGCCTCCAGAGACCGAAAATTAGGAGAATTGTCCCGTCATGACTTTTTCATTGCTTTGGGTTTCTTGATAAGCGTGGGGGGGTCCCCCCCGACGGGGGTCAACCTCGCCTCGTCGTCGCGCTGCGACGGGGGTCGGAGCGCCTTCGGCGGGCGGTGGCTGCCCGCGACGGGGTCGATGTGGGGCTGTCGGCCTGGGTGACGTCCCCCCCCCCCCCGCTGATGAAGAAACTCGGAGTACCCGAGGGGGGCCGTGTTCGTGCACGTGTCCGGGCGCGTGCGTCCTTTTGTGGGCTCGCCCCTCCCCGGCCCCAGGCGTCCGGCGCCTCGGGACAGAATCGAGGCGGAGGTTCATGGCCTTCGGCCGCTCGGGGCGCCCTAGGGCCTCGGGAGCGTAAAAACGGCTCTGGAGGACACACATTAGCGCTGGACCTGAACGTTGTTGTGCTGGACTTCTATTTTTCTTATCCTAAGATGGGGTTATTGTTCTTACTTGGACCCTCCTACTCCCTCTTCTTCTCCTCCCCTCCTCTCGGACTTACTCATATTCAGACTTACTCATACCCAGACTTACTCATACACAGACTTACCTACTCATACTCAGACCTACTCATACTCAGACCTACTCATACTCAGACTTACTCATACCCAGACGTACACACACAGATTTACTCTCATACACAGACTGACTCATACCCATACTTACTCATACCCAGACGTACTCGTACACAGACTTACTCATACTCGGACCTACTCATACTCAGACCTACTCATACTCGGACCTACTCATACTCATACTCCCCTAAGGGGAGCCGCCAGGGGTGGTTTCACGGGCCCGTTCGCGGCCAGTTTGTGGGGATGTCTCAGGCGGTTTGGCTGTTTTGGTGGGCAGACTCGTCTGCGTTTAGAGCAGTTTGTGAGGATGTCTCAGGCGAGGCGCTGGTTTCAGCACCCCTAAGGGGAGCCGCCAGGCGTGTTGTCACGAGCCCGTTCGCGGCCAGTTTGTGGGAATGTCTCAGTCGGTTTGGCTGTTTTGGTGGGCAGACTCGTCTGCGTTTAGAGCAGTTTGTGAGGATGTCTCAGGCGAGGCGCTGGTTTCAGCACCCCTAAGGGGAGCCGCCAGGGGTGGTTTCACGGGCCCGTTCGCGGCCAGTTTGTGGGGATGTCTCAGTCGGTTTGGCTGTTTTAGTGGGCAGACTCGTCTGCGTTTAGAGCAGTTTGTGAGGATCTCTCAGGCGAGGCGCTGGTTTCAGCACCCCTAAGGGGAGCCGCCAGGCGTGTTTTCACGGGCCCGTTCGCGGCCAGTTTGTGGGGATGTCTCAGTCGGTTTGGCTGTTTTGGTGGGCAGACTCGTTTGCGTTTAGAGCAGTGCGTCAGGATGTCTCAGGCGGGGTGCTGGTTTCAGCACCCTCAAGGGGAGCCGCCAGCGGTGTTTTCACGGGCCAGTTCGCGGCCAGTGTGTGGGGATGTCTCAGTCGGTTTGGTTGTTTGGATGGCAGATTCGCTTGCGTTTAGAGCAGTGTGTCAGGATGTCTCAGGCGGGGTGCTGGTTTCAGCCCCCGTCAAAGGAGCCGCCAAGGGGCAGGGCACGGGCCCGTTCGCGGCCAGAATATTGAGGAGGGGGAATGACTGGGAGGCTCATATTCAATCATACTCAAAGCTCACTCTGACTCATACTCACTCAGCCGCATTAGGATTCACTCGTCTTCGTCGGCCCTGTCGCCCACGTGGACGCGCTATTATAGTCAAACGCTCATGAACAGACGTTCGCTATGGCATGGCATAAAACATGAGATGCACATATGGGGAGTTCCTCGCAGTCAGTAATTTTTGTCGTCCGTTTTTGGCAGGGAGGTCCAGGAAAACAGGTGGTGCAAAACGACACACAAAACGAAAACAAAACGAAGAACGACGTTTAGGTCCAGCCCTCACACACATGAATCCACGCTGGCTTCGAGAGCACGCGCATGGGTGGGCGCGAACCACGTCCTCTGTGGTCCCCCCCCCCTCCAGTCCGTGCACGTGCCTCGGGCCATGAGCGCCCCGCCCCCCCCCCCCCCCCCCCCGTGGGGGATGCCCCCGAAGGAGGGTGCCCCTGCCGCCACGTCGAACCACACCCGCCGCAGAGACTCGGGAGCAGTAGCTCGAGTAGGAGATCGACTACAGAATTCGTGTACCCCGAAATAGAGGTTTGTCGTCGAATCTACAAGAGAAAAGATAACATGTCAACAGATCTACGAGCATTCCATGTAGGTTTCGTAGATGTGGCGAAAACCCATTGGGGGGGTAGATTAATTATGTAGTCGATCCCCTACGCGAAGCACTGGCCCAGCGGCCTCCGAAGGGAACGAGCGATTTCAGTTTCGCGCTGGCTGCTTCTCAGCCCTGCCAGGGCTCGCTGGGGGACATCCGGGGGCCTCCAGGTGGTCGGCATGGCCTGGCGACTTTCTGGGCGGGCCGGACTTGGTCCAGCACGCTTGCCCGGGCCACTGCGCCTGCGCGGTGTAGTTTTTAACCGAATTGCAAATTCACGGCCGCGGGTCGCCCGCGCTCTCGACGGCGCCCTGCCGGTGGGGGGCGCGAGCAGGCTCGGCAATTGACCGCCCTCCGCCACCTCCCGACGTGCGCCGTGTCCAGCCGCCAGCACTTCGCATCATATTTCTGCTTCTACTGCGCCTCCTCCTCCTCCTCCTCCCTCCCTCGCTCCCTCCCTCCCTCTCTCCTGCCATCCCACCTTTTTCTCCCTCCCTCCCTTCCTCCCTCCCTCCCTCCCTCCCTTCTTCCTCTTCCACTCCTCCTCCTCCTCCTCCTCCTCCTCCTCCTCCTCCTCCTCCTCCTCCTCCGCCTCCTCCTCCTCCTCCTCCTCCTCCTCCTCCTCCACCTCCTCCTCCACTTCCTCCTCCTCCTCCTCTTCCTCCTCCTCCTCCTCCTGGTCCTCCTCCATCTCGTCCTCCTCATCATCATCATTTCCTCCTCCGCCTCTTCCTTCCTCCTCCTTCCTGCCTCCTCCTCCTCCTCCTCCTCCTACTCCTCCGCCTCCTCTTTCCTCCTCCTTCCTGCCTTCTCCTCCTCCTCCTCATCTTCCTCTTCCTCTTCCATCCGTCGTTATTCCTCCTCTTCCATCCTCCTTCCTCCATGCTCGTTCCTCTTTTTTCGTCCTTCCTTCCTCCCTTCCCCCTCCTCCCTTCCCCCTCCTCCCTCCCCCCTCCTCTCTCCTCCAGTATACTTCATCCCTCCTCGACCTCCTCCATCCTCCCTCCTCCTCCTGTTCCGCATCCTCCCTTTCCTGCTTCTCCTCCTACTCCTCCTTCTTGTCCTCCTCTCCCTCTTCTTCCTCCTCATCATCCTGCTCCTCCTCATCATCAGCATCACCATCAGCAGCATCATCATCCTTATCTGCCTCAACATCATCATCATCAGCATCATCAGCGGCATCATCACCATCGTAATCATAATCATCCGCATCATCAGCAGCAGCATCATCAGCAACAGCAACAGCAACAGCAACAGCAACAGCAACAGCAACAGCAGCATCATCAGTGTCATCATTAACCATACATTCATTATGTTCCTGCCCCTCCTCCCTCCCTCGCTCCCTCCCTCTCTCCCTCCATTCCACCTTCCCTCCCTCCCTCCCTCCCTCCCTCCCTCCCTCCCTCCTCCTTCCTCTTTCCTCCTTCCTCATTCCTCCTTCATCCCTCCTCCCTCCTCCTTCTCCTTCTCCCGTCTCCCTCCTCCTCATCCTTTCTCCGTCCTCCTTCTTCCTTCCTCCCTCCTTCCTCCTCCTCCCTCCTCCCTCCTCCCCCCTCCTCATCCTTCCTCCTTCCTCCCTCCTGCTCCCTCCTCCCGCCACCTCTGACTCATTCCTCTTTTTGTATGTCTGACATCGCAGCGAGGCATACGAAAGATCTTCCTCCAGCCCGCACCGTCATCGCCGTCCTGAACCCAGGGCAGTTAGGTTATGGTAGCAGACGCCATTGCAGCTGCCTCCCTCCCTCCCTCCCTCCCTCCCTCCCTCCCTCCCTCCCGTCCCCTCCTCCTCCTCCTCCTCCTATCCTCCTCCTCCTCCTCCTCCTCCTCCTCCTCCTCCTCCTCCTCCTCCTCCTCCTCCCTCCTCCTCCTCCTCCTCCTCCTCCTCCTCCTCCTCCTCCTCCTCCTCCCTCCTCCCGCAGCGGGGCCCCCGAGACCCCGAGTCCGGGGGATCTCCGGGGCGCCCGGCGCGCCGCGGGCCCTCCTCCTCCTCCCTCCTCCCTCCTCCCTCCTCCCTCCTCCTCCTCCCTCCTCCCTCCTCCCTCCGCCCTCCTCCTCCCTCCTCCCTTCTCCCTTCTCCCTTCTCCATCCTCCTCCCTCCTCCTCGATCCCCCCTCGATTCGATCGATCCAATTCGATGTCAAGTTTCCTCAGCTCGATCCGATCCCAGACATGCTCGCGTCGTGGAAAAACAAAAAAAACGACTGTTGGTGTTTGGCAGTTTCGGCCTCCTCGGGCCTTCGCCGGGGCCCAGAAAAGACGACTTGGGATATGTTTGGGATTCGAGTTCGAGCTCCCAGTTATACGAGGCGGCTTGATGCTGGCACATCGCAGTTGTGTATCTGGGTACAGGCGATCCGATGTTCGTTTCGAGCCGAATTTGATTCCGAGCAGATGCAGCCCGATCTGATGTTCTGAGCAGGCATGGTTTTTTCGCCGCGAGGGATCGGAGGTTTTCATCGGGCGGGGCCGGGACGGGGAGGAGTCGCTCCACAGCGTTTTCTGGAACGCTCTCAGAGCGCTCCGGGGCGCTTTGGGAACGGCTGCGGCGCCCGATGCATCTGCCAGACCCGACCGATCTCAGAGATCCCCAATGTTCGAAAAAGATAAAACGCCATAAACATGAACTTTTGGCGCTCCGCGCAGATTTCTTGGATCCGCGCTGGGTCCCCACGGCGCCGCCCCTGGCGCGCTCCGCGCGCCAGGGTGGGGTCTAGCGCAGATCCAAGACATCCGCGCGGAGCGCCAAAAGTTTATGCTTCTGCCGTTTTTTGATCCTCGAGGCTGAAGTCGAGCATGCCCCTCTACAGGAGGAATATTCAAAAATAGTCAAACAATAGTCTGGGGACGATTTTCTAACTAGTTTTGAATGTTTTTGAATATCGTTTGGGTCTTTCGGACTTTTCGCCCAAAATCCGCCTGTAGGAGGACACGCCCGACCTAACTGTAGGCGTGTCCCCCTTCGATGTTGCCCCGGTCCTGGCTTCTCGTCGTGGGTTCCAAGGGGGGGCTCCCTGGACGGCGGGGGACCCAAGAAGAGGCCCCTGTCCCGTGGCCTCTCCGAAGTCCGCGCTCCTCGGTCGGTCCCCCTCCCACGCGCCGCCAGATCCAGCTGCTCTCGAATCGGGGGAAAAGAAGACTCGAGAAAGCGGGCACTCGGGTTTGCCGACGTTTTTGGGGTCCAGTTTTCGTGGGATGTTTGCAGCGGGAGCTCGCGTCAGATTTCAGATTGGGCCTCGTCATTTTTGTGGTGGCCTCGTCAGGTCAACCCGAGTCCCCCGTACCCGAGTCTCACGTCTCCCCGATGGAAGAGTCAGGAGGGGCAAAACACACAGACACAATTAATTTCGTCGACTCCCATGAAAAGATGGGAATATATTGGAGGCGGGGGCGAAAACGACACCCCGGAAAAGATGGGAAAAGATGGGGAGTCCAGGGATATGTGTATGTTGATTGGTTTGTCTTTTGGCCCTTTTGAAGAAGAACAACTCCACGACCATAGTCTTTCGGAGCTTCGCGCGGCTTTCTTGGATCGGCACTGGGAGCGCGCTGGGGGGGGAGCGCCGCTCCGAGAACTCCGCGCGGAGCTCCGACGACCTGCGTTCGTGCCGTTTTTGTTTTGCTTCCTCCAGCTCCTGGAAGGTCGGAGGAAGCAACTGTCGATGTCTACGCTGTTTCTCTCGAAGAAGTGAAAACCAAACATCGAAACAAGATAAAACGCCATCAGCACTAACTGTTGGCGCTACGCGCGGACGTCTTGGATCCACGCTGGGCCCCCCAGCGGCGCCTCCGGCGCCGCTCCTGGCGCGCTCCGCGCGCCAGGGAGGGGGGTCCAGGGCAGATCCAAGAAGTCCGCGTGGATTCGCAACAGCTTATGTGTGTGCCGTTGTTGGCTTGTTTTTCTTAGTATTAGTATTGGACTTATTGCTATTATTAGCATTCGTATAATCAGTATTAGTAGTAGTAATAGTAAAACTAGTAGTAGTAGTAGTAGTAGTAGTAGTAGTAGTAGTAGTAGTAGTAGTAGTAGTAGTAGTAGTAGTAGTAGTAGTAGTAGTAGTAGTATAGTAGTAGTAGTAGTAGTAGTAGTAGTAGTAGTAGTAGTAGTAGTAGTAGTAGTAGTGGTAGTAGTAGTAGT